GTGGGGGGGGGGGGGGGCATATGTTACCACCCACCTCTAACTCAAAAACTAAGAGGGCTAGAAAGACGCGGTAAAAAGCAGTCGATAGCTCTCAATGCGTACGTTTGAAAGTATTTCGGTCATTTTTCACCTTAGAGCAATATTGGGGTCACCAGAGGTCATCAAAGGTCAAAATTTGCCAATTGTCATTATATTCTTCAGAAAACATGCCGCTGTCTCAGGAACTATGGTAGCTAGAAAAACGCATGGAAGAGCAATCGATAACTTTTGAACTCTTCTTTTGAAAAGGTCATTATTAATATTGCCCTCAGGTCAACGGTTTAGCCTCCAGAGGGCAACAACTCCAAAAATAGCTGTTTTTACGAAAAGTGTTTTTCGACAGTAACTTTCGACTAAAAAAAGCCACGACACTTCTATTGCCAGAATCGTGTTCCCCTCGCCGAGACGCGTCGAATGAACTATAATTTGACCTTGAAAGGTCAACTTGAAAATTTGACCTCAGGTCAAGGTCATGACCTGACCGGAAAAGGTCATGTTGCATATCAGTCGATGCGACTCAACAAGACAAACACAATGAGACCATCCCCAGCGTTCTATCTCTTTCCAATCGCGAGTTATTGGCAAAAAAACTGTTTGTAGCCTCAAATGACCTCGGATGACCTTTCTAGAGGCTATCAGCAAAAATGACACCTTGGTCATCACGAATGGACTAAATCATTGTGATTCTGAAATATTTGGACTGTTCCTATGCGTACACACGGATCTAGAGGCATTTTCATTTTTCTCCATTGACTTGTAATGGAAAGGTCACGCCACTGACCTGACCTTAGGTCACGGATATAAAAAATCCGAGATATACAAATTGTAGGCGCCCATAACAGCATGCAATCCACCAAGTTTAAAATCTTTCTGACAAAGACTGCAGACTGGACATGATTGCAAACTTTTTTTTTGGCTTGGTCAGTTAACTTGACCTGGTGACCTGACCTGACATGACCTGGGGTCCAAAACTTCACATATTGTCCAAAATTGATGTACCAAAAGCTTCCCCGAGCGGCGCGGCGCTACGCGCCGCGGTTTTTATTCACACGCAAAAAACGCGACAGGGTGGTAACATATGCCCCCCCCCCCACTGGGGCGAAGGCTAACCAACGATGCATTATGCGACGGATAACTCTACAATGCATTATTATCAACTATTGAACCATGGGGTCGGCAACAACATTGCCGACTCCATGGGTACTGTACCCCCCTAACCCTAACTTTCGATAGCGGGGGACCTGTCCCCCCGTCCCCCCCCCCCCCCGGTGGCGCCGCCCATGCGCAGCATGCTTCCGAAAGCTTCCGTAAATGAAAATTACCTGGTGTTTTGTATATTTGGCGCTGAAAATGATTCATTTCCTGGTGAATGATAAGATATATCAATAAAAAATACTTCTGTCATTTCGGGCCGTGCGGGTCCCTGAGCATGACAAACACGATGGTGCCAAATAGCGTGGTTCTACGACCATCTTTAGGAGAATTATCCACTAATACCAAATCCGTAACAGCGGTACTAGCTACTAAGGCATGACCTGCCCTCAGAAGTGAAAGGTCACTGATTGATCTGATACCTTGACCCTCGCCGGATTTATTGGTTTTCTACATACGCGCCGGCCGAGGGAGGGGAGGGGGGAGGGTTGGTATGTACGACCCTCCTCGCCGTTTCGCCCCTGATAGAGCTAGAGCGTCGCGGAAGCATCACACGTCTGCGCCGTTACGAGACGCAGCGACTGGTACCCGATTTAAAGGTCTCAGGTCATCCGGTGACCTCTGAGGTCAGGTCAAGTGGCCCAAGGCACTGGTTGGGCTTTGATAAATACGTGTTCCTCTCGTCGAGACGCTTCGAATGAAATGAACTATAATTTGCCTTGAAAGGTCAACTTGAAAATTTGACCTAAGGCCAAGGTCATGACCTGACCGGAAAAGGTCATGTTGCATATCAGTCGATCCGCATCGTGGAGCCGAACACATCTAAGGCGTTTTCATCTCTAGCATGCCCTTATCAGAAGTTATTAGCTAAAAACTGTTAGATACTATTCTTGATCAGAGATGACCTCGGGGACATAACAAGGGGTCAAAAGTGCCATTTCCCGGTTCAGTGTATCAATTTTACCTGCATCCCGATTCCCGATGTTTGAGAGTGCCTAGAATCGCGTTTGTGCAAAAGAGACGCTTTTCAATTTTCTCCCATTTATTTTATAATTGAGAGACCGCAAAATTGGCCTGACCTTAACCCGGCACCGCCTGGGCTATTTCCGTACCCACGACAGCCTGGGGGGGGGGGGGGCGGTCGGATCCGACCCCCCCCTGTTATCTCGAGAACCAATGATCGTATCGAGCCCCGCGAGGCGGCGTTCGAAAGGTCTCTACGAGACCTTCCCAAAGCACCTTAAGATTTTAAGATTGAGGTCAACTTTCGGGTCAAGGTCAGGTCAAAGGTCAAATTCTGGGGGTTTGCATGATTAGACTTACACTTACGGGCAGCGGAATCGATAGCTGCTGCTCGAAACTCACCAAAAATGACCTCAAAGACCTAGTGAAGGTACCATGTAGGGGTCATACTAAGTACGGGTCAAGGTCAGGTCAGGTGATTGGGGGTACCCTAGGTTTGGCTCCTTGAGTCTCTGCCCCCCCCCCCCAGTGAAAATCTCTTACGACGAGGCCCTGCCAAAAGGCGTTATACTGGTGTTAAGATGCCAAAATCAAAGGGGGGCACGGTGCCCCGGTGCCCTCCCCGTTCCACAGGCTATGCTCTTACGTTAGCCTGAAACGGTTTTCAACTACACCTATTTCAGATCCTACGTGCATGCAGTGACGTACCCAAGGGGGGGGGGGCACGGGAGCCATGGCCCCCTTCTGAGCGCCGAAGGCGCTCAGGGGGCCCCTCAGGCCCCGGTATATTTTTTCAAACACTGGATAAAACGTCTTTTACTAGGAAGAAAAAAATGATATCAAAGTTTCATTTACGTGCCCCTGGTTACCCGAGGGGCCCCTGATCACCCGATGGGCCCCTGCAGTCATCCGAGGGCCCCGGTTTCCTGGGCCCCTGGTCGCCTAGGGGCCCCTGGTAGCCGGGGCCTGGTCGCATGGGGCCCCCTGATTGCCTGGGGTCCCTAGTCGCCTAGGGGGCCCTGGTAGCCGGGGGGCCTGGTCGCATGGGGGCCTCTGGTCGCATGGGGCCCTGATCGCCTGGGGTCCCTAGTCGCCAAGGGGGCCCCTGGTAGCGGGGGCCTGGTCGCCGGTCGCATGGGGGCCCCTGGTTGCCTGGGGGCCCCTGGTCGCCTGGGCGGCCTGGGGGCCCCCGGTTGACCTAAGGGCCCCTTCGGAAGCAGGTGGCCCCCTCCTGGGCGAAATCCTGGGTACGTGCCTGCGTGCATGACGTGTGCAAGACGCATGTGCAAGACAGGCCCTGCATGACAGGAGATTTTCGACCTCCGCGACATCTATAACTACGTGAGAATAGTAGCGACATCTACAAATAAGCTTGATAACAAGTTTCTGCGCACTTGCGACAAATATTGTGTTCATTCTAATTCACGCTGCAAGTAAACTTATTCAATAGCATAAAACGCCTAATCAAAATCTTTCTGAGTATTCCCTTGCAGATTAAATTATTGGTAATAAACACCTTTGACCATGGTGGTTTATTTATTTAGGAAACTGTCGAAAACTGGGACGACGGAAAACTAGTTTTCTTTCGGTTGACTTCAGTGGTATGCTCGGCTGACGGCAGGCATTATATTGATATAGGTTGAGGTAGGCGGTAAAGGGTTTTGCTTTTTATTGCCCTGGCCCCTGAGCATTGGTGCCTCTGTTGAAATTCCATTTTTAGACATCACATCACTCATTTGAGGTAATATCTGTTTGCCCTGCAAGATCTGCTGCTGTAGAAAGTGATTTTTCAGACTATAGTTCCTTCTTTTTTCAAACGGACGCTGGCTTCAAGTGAAATTATCGGGAAGAAATTACATGTTAGAAATTAGTCAGCGTTTTATTTTCTCAGGTTAAGTTTGTTTTGCCCACACGTGGTTATTCGTAAAACATACTTGGAGCCAGAGTCCTTTGGAAAAAAAACAAACAAACTATAGTGCTGATGTGTGACTTAAGTGAGGCAAACTAATATGGGAACCGAATAAACATATTTATATGCTTGAGCTAAACATGTTTTATGTAAATTTAACCTTAAGTTCTACTAAAAGCAAAATTACCACAGCCTGCGGGCTGCAGTTCAAGCTGTTTTTGGGGTATATGTCAAGTTTAGGTCCTAACTACAATTGTGGCGCTTTTGATACGAATACGAAACAGCAAAAATTTTAGGTTTTAGGTTAGGTTAGGTTGTAGGTTTGTAGGTTTTAGGTTGTAGGTAGGTAGGTTTGTAGGTTAGGTTAGGTTAGGGTAGGTTTGTAGGTTGTAGGTTGGTAGGTTATATGTAAGTAGGTAAGGTTAGGTCAGGTTTGATTATGTTTTTTTCTTTTATTTGCGAGACATATGAGTATCATTTTTGGATTCAGGATGTCAAATAATGTAAAAATATGAAAAAATTATCAATGAAATCTTCTTAGGACTTAAACTTGACATTTACCGTGTAAACTGCTGGTGAAAACAAATTGACAGTTTGACCACTTTCAAACATTTAAACACTTGTCTGCATTTGGCCAACATTTATGGATGGACTTGTTCAAGCTCAGTCTGCTCCAGCTTTGTCAAATTTTCCATTTGACATTGGGTTTCCCAACTTCATCAGCATAATGATCTCTGTTTGCGAGAGTGTTTAATTGTCATCAAATGTCCTCCAAGATCATCCAACAATGCAAAACTAGCTGATGACGTGTATGGTATACCTAAAGCAGAACTGACTGAACTGACTGATGGGTATCATTTTTCATGTCAGTTTATTTTTGACATGGCAAGTGAAATTCAACTGCAACTAAGCCGTTTACACCACCCCTCTCTTTCAGATTACAATGGCAAGCGACAGTCAGACTGACGACACTAAGAAGACAAAACGAGTTAGAAAGAAGAGATTGTATGCAGCAATCATGAATCAGATGGAGTTCTACTTCAGTGATGCCAATCTCACTCGTGACAAGTACCTAAGATCACTGATGGAAAAGGATAAATGTAAGATAACTACATAGCTTATTTGTTATATTTAACACGCGCAGTGGAAGGGTTGCGAGTACTACGCCCAGTGGAAGGGGGGGGGGCGGATGTCGCCCCCCCCCTAAGATCTCAGCTCCCACTGGAGCTAGAAAAACGAAATTTGGAGGGTAGGTGGGGGATATGGGGAACTCTGTTGTGTGTGAATTTCATGACCCTAGGTCAATATCTTCAAGGTCAAATGAGGTCAAATGTGGTCAAATCTGCCATATTAGCGACTTTTTTGCGTTTACACGCCGATAACTCAAAAAGTTACGGGCCGATTTTTTTAATCTTTTACTATATGAAAGAGCAAACATTTGTAAGTATGTATGGTGAATTTCTAGATAATACAACAATAAATATGGCAGTTAGAAGCCTGATAAGGGTAAGATGTCGCCGGCTGAAGCGGCATCGGCCGACGCGGGAAACGCGGCAATCACAATTTTGTGTTTACACACTCATAACTCAAGTTGTTACCGGCCGATTTTCAAAATTCTTTGACCATATGATTGCCTGTACATTTCTCAGTCTTCTCACCGAATTTGACGCGAATCTAATGTAATCAGCGGTAAGGAGCGCGATGTAAAGACGGAACCGTCCCGCCCCGGCACAGTCTACAATTCAGGCGGCGCGTAACGGCTAGCGCCGGCCGCCGCGCCGCCGCGCCGCCGCGGCGGCAGGATGTTTGACTTTACACCGCTATTACTAGAAAAGTTGTGAACCGATTTTCTTACTTCTTGCACGAGAAGATCCGCAATTCAATTCTGGACAGGTAGCCGAAATTTCACATTGATATTATGCTTGCGGCGCGAGTTATTGGCGAAAAACAGGAGGGGTGGGCGAAATCCGCCCCCCCCCTTCCACTGCGCGTGTTAAAGCTAGTGTACATATTGTAGCTTATTTTTGTCATAATACCATTAAAATAAGTCACATATTAGGTCAGTGTTTTTTTGTAATTTTATATTGCATAATGAAGTACTTAAGTCTCTGTCTTACCATGGATGATTACCTACTACCTACTACTTCATCCATGGTCTTACCATTGATGGGAAGTCGATTACACCAGGGACCAGCTCTTCAGCTACTACCGAAAAGTGTTTGTCTTTTCAAACAACCTGCAGTTATAAATCCTACTTTACAGTTGATTGGATTAGGTAGACCTTTTTATTTCAATTATCACTGATTATTCAAAATAGGCACATAATGAAAGTGGACTCTCTCTCTCTACCCATTGGTGACTGTTGTTGTGCCCCCCTTTTCCCAAGGTCGCTCACTTCGTTCTTCCCTGGTTCTCTCTCGTTCACAGTCATCCCTCTGTCTGAGTTTGTCAAGTTTGCCCGGATCCGCTCCCTGTCGGCCTCTCTCGATGATCTGGTGCACGCGCTCTCCGGATCTCAGTTCCTGCAGCTCTCGTCAGATGGCTCTGCCGTCTGCCGCCGGTCGCCGTTCGTCTTCAAAGAGGATGCCGAGCTCTGCACCATTTATGTCGTAAGTGTATGCGGGAGGCAGACGTATGCCGAGACATTTGCATGTAGTTGCTTATGACAAACTATTGGTTTGTTCATGAGCATTGATGAAATAGGTAAAATAAATATAATGTTTATTATTGCGAGTATAATTCAGCCTGCTGAACAAAGCAATATTGTTTGCTCGAATTTTGTCAGGGTATGCCAAACTATGCAACTCTTCATCACACTTGCGGCATTTGCCGCTGTTACAAACTGTAAATTCCTAACTAAATGCAACTCTTCAAAATATAATTATTTCAATCATTAAGCGAGACCAGCCCCTACTGGCTGCAGCGGATCCCTGCCTCTGGGTCTGATGTACCTAAGTCTGGTATACATTCGCACTAATTCTCCCTCCCCGTCAGGAGAGCATCCCTCGCTCGTCGGGCAGGGAGGCGCTGCGACGAACCTTCTCTGCGTACGGAACAGTCGACTCCATCTCCCTGCCCACACACCGGGCCACCGGCCACCACCGCGGCTTCGGCTTTGTCCAGTTCCGCACACCCAACATGGCCAACAACGCGCTTTATGTGAGGAACAGTTGAAGTAGCGGTAAACGGGGTGGTGGGTCTGGGTGGCTTATATTTGGAAGAATGTGTTCGTGTGTTCTTGGGAAAGGCAGTTAAAATAGTTAGAATAGCCTGTCCAATAACGATTAGGTGTATGCTGTACGATGTAGGTAGGTGTACGGTGTGCTTGCAGGTTATGTTCAATGGACCCTGGACAGTTATTAGCAAAGGAACTGAAAACCCTTCACTTAAATATCTCTCATGTTGGCTATATTCGCTTTCTTTCGCTGTTTTTTTTCCTCCCTCCCCTCTCCCTCTCTCTCCCTCTCTCTCTCCCTCTCTCCATCTCTCCCTCCCCCCTCTCTCTCTCTCTCTCCCCCCTCTCCCCTGCTCACACTGTTCTAACCGCCTCCTCTCCACAGGCGTTCGGAGCTCTGGGCCGCCGTATGCCGTCTGAACACTACCCCGAGTATCTGACCGCCGTGGAACCCGCGCCCGACGACACGGAGCCTCTCGAGGAGGGAGGCGAGGGGGACGGAGAGGAGGTGGAACTGGCACCGGTCGACCCGCCGCCCGCAGCCGCGCCTGATCTTACCAGTCGGCCCGGGAAAAGGAAACTGTCCACAGACTCCAGCTCCAGGGGTCAGTCAACGCTATTACTCGTGCCATCTTGACATATTGCTCATTTTAGTGATTGTGACTGGACTTAAGTCATAAAACAAGGACTTAATTTGTTTGACTTTATTGGGTACGAAACCAGTTTGTAGCTAAGAGATTGTGCCCAGCTTCGACATTTTGCTGCGATTCATATGGCTTTTTAATTTTCTCGCAGTCTAGTTCATTCGCAATGTGTTTGGTTAGTAATGTGCTTGTGTTTGTCGCAGACGCCCCGATGAAGATGACTCGATTCGCCGACACCCCGGAGTCTGAGAAAGACTCCACGCAGAACACGGGCGCCGCGCAAACCACGGGCGCAACAGCCACGGGCAGCGCCAGCGCCACGCCGGCCGACACGGACAACTCCAACTTCTCCGAGGGCGCGGCAGATGGCACCACCAGCTGCTCGGAGCCGCACAGAGAGGACGCCAGCCTGGCCACGTCCCTGCTGACAGAGCGGACCGACGATACTGATCTCAGTGGCGGCGAGCGACGCGCCCGACGGCACCGGCGCACCCGCAGGGGAAGGAAGGCGCCGCTTAATGAGACTGAGGATACGCGGCTGCTGGGACTGCAGATCATGCCGCTGTGAGTATTGGGAGGGACGGGCGAGGGAGAAGGGAGATTGGGTGGGAGGATGGCTCCGTGGTTTAGGAAGGATGCTGACAGGTGTAATTTGTAGGATGCGTTTCCGGAGCTAGTTTACGGAAATGCACTGCCATTTTCACGTCGATCCTGTTGATTTCTCTTTTGGAGCTGAACTTCTCCCTCAGACTGTCTTCCCTGTTATCTCTCCGTGGATCCATTGACATTCACCCTCGTGCCCCTCCCTCCAGGTCTGAATGGAGTCGGTTCAAGGAGCAGTACCGCGCCCTGCAGAAGGAAAACATGTCCGAGATCAAGCGGGCGCTGCAGGAACAGAATGCCAACCGACCTCGGAACCCGCCGGTCAGTTGCGCAATGTCTGGTAGGATGTACTAGCTATAACCCCAGACACAGAGACAGGACGGTCCGGTACAGGGGAATTGGTGGATGGATGAAGAATGGATATGACTTATGGGCGGTTGCGTTAGATTCAGGGGAGTTGGGACCAGAGGGGGCTATTGCCACCCATTTGGCGACCGGAATGTGCACTTTTCTGTACAAAGCCGTTCTGCTTGATTTGGTCCGTTATCTGTCAGTTGTATTATGTCATAAAATTGAGTTCTGCATACACTTTAGACCGGGAAAAGCGACGCGCTGTTACCTTATAGTTCTCAAACCTTTGTTCAGGGCTGATCATCATCGGTAACCTCTCGTGACCTGTCTTGACCTCTGATGATCGTGTATGACCCCCTGTGTGACCTGTGATAACCCCCTGTGACCCGGACAGGCGCGGCCGGTCGGTGTCGCCCCCCAGTTTGTTCCCGGTACGGTGGTTCGGTTCAGTGCCGATCGGCCCGCCGCGGCCTCCGACAAACAGCTAATCGTGAGTAGGGTCGTCGGCCTCAGATGGGAGACATCTCAGAGTCAGGAGTGCTTTACATTCGCCTGTCACCATCGCCTAACAATCATACGAATGAATATTGTACCGTGAAGCATCGTGCTTACAACAGAGAGTTACATGCCATCACCTGATAGTTACCGGTAATTGATGGCATCGCTATCATAATATTCATTAATATATTGTGTGGAAGTGCTGCTTTATGATACATAGAAAATCATCTGTCCCGAAGGTGGCAGATTTATTCGTATTTGTATTCATGCTTTCCGTGCGATGCCAGCTCACATTGAGTCCATCTCTGTGTCCGTACAGTCTGCCCTGAAGTCCCGACCGGGAGTACAGTACGTGGAGCTGGGTGCCGACTCCGAGCCCTCCTACCTACGGATGGAGTCTGCCGCCGCTGCTGCCGCCTGCCTGAAGGACCCAGAGCTCAGAGACGCAGCCGTTCTCACAGGTGGGTCTCGGAGAGGATCTGCGGAAGTTTGATGGAAGGATGAGTGCGAGTAGAGGTGCTGAAGCTCTGTAACAAGCTAGTATGGTATGGTATATTAAACTCCATCCGTGCGCGCACAGCTGTTCGGAAGTTTGCGTCATACAATAAATGCACACTGCACAGACACACAATAAGACAAACTGAGGCGTTCTAGATAAACACTCGATGATAAATCATACCTACAGATATCACACACCTAAGCACTGTTTCCACTCTGTTGCACCTCTCCCAACCTGACCATGAACTGCCCTCTCGAAGTGCACTGTGTTACAGAAGGCGGGAGCGTGTTTCACGCTGTCGCGGCTCGGTAAGAGAACACACGTTGAGTGGTGCTCAGCCGTACCGTTGGCAGCGCGAGCTGCTCTGATCGAGCGAGACGGGTATCACGGAGCGACGTGTCCCGTCTCCGCGTGAACATGCTGCGCATCGTGTTTGGAGCATACTGGTCATTGAGCGCGTTAAACACCTTGATACAGACCCGCTCGAGAAGAGAGCTGCATTATGCAATTTTGCGAGTGTATTTTTGCGCTTACTGCTGAGGTTTAGACTAAATTGTCAAAATGTGCTCTCCTGATCGCACTCTAATTCTATTAAAAAAGTTATTCTCACTAAGCAGTTACCTCGTCCTTACAGATCCCCTGCAATCTGCTGACTGACGGTGCTGCCGCCAGGCGGTGATGAGGAGAACTACTGGCGCCGGCTGCGGGAGGAGCGGTCTGCCACCCGCAGTCGGCGGCACCGGAGCAAGGAGAGGGGCCGCGACCGGCTGCTGCGCCGACTGAGAACCAGCGAGCAGCTCGAGTCGTGACCAGCGCCCTCTGAAGCTGTCTAAGGACCTCTAAGGCCCTCTGAGGCCCTCAAGGTCCTCTAAAGCAGCATCTGCCTTACCGATACCGAAGGTTTCTGGACGGAGCAAACGGAGTTTATGCCCTGTGCGGCCGGAATATGTGGTCTCTGTGAATCCCGGGCTCAAGGCGTCGTGCTGGAGGTTGCACCATAAGGAGTACTGTCTGTCTGTACAGTGTTCCGGGTGGAAGGACAGATGCCCCGCTGGTCGCCTGCGGTGCGGCACATCGATCCAGTGTTCCCTGCGACTTTCCTGTTTTTTTTTTTTTTTTGTGTGTGTGCTCAGCTATTACATTGTGTGACTTTGCCATGTGCATACATCGTCAACTGCAGATATTACGCCATGTGTACATTTGTGATAATACCTATCGCAATACATATTCATGAATGCCTGATTTGTTTGGTTGATCCTACACTGACTTCATTTTGGCGATCACCCGAACAGATGCTGTCTCAAACTCGTCTTATTTGCTGGTCAGCCAAGTTCCAAGTTCCGACCATCCCCGTCGCACGCGATACAGTACGACTCCCGCCGCCCGCGCCAGTCTGCTGCCGGAAGCGGGTCCGGCGATAGTGTCACCGGCGTCGTGGCGCGTCTCTGGCGTATTTCCTGTGCAGTTGACAGTGGCGACTGGCGACTGGCGACTGGTGTTGGTATTGGTAGTGGTGGTGGTGGTGGTGGTGGTAATCTGTGAAGATAACAGGTCGGCTGAAAGGTACGGGAGGGGTGGGAGACTGTATAGAAGGCAACACTGTTTCATGTGTGAGGGAGGGAGAGAGAGAGAGAGAGGGAGAGAGAGAGAGAGAGAGAGAGAGAGAGAGAGAAAGAAAGAGAGAGAGAGAGAGAGAGAGAGGGAGAGAGAGAGAGAGAGAGAGAGAGAGAGAGAGAGAGAGAGAGAGAGAGAGAGAGAGAGAGAGATTAGTGTTCGTAGAGATGGGGAGAGGGGCAAATTAGGAAGTCATGAAGACTTCGGGATATGAATAAAGTGGACAGCTACTGCTGACTGCTATGATGTCTTTACTTGTCCGGTCGCATTTCTATCCTTATCTTTTCTCGCACTTCCAGCAGCGGCGAGCCCTCCCGCCCCCTCATCGTGGTCATGTCGGGCATTCTGAAGGGCTGGTTCAGCCGCAGTCTGGTGCACCCGCGGCCGAGCCGGGAGCTGGCGACGCCCCAGCTTCAGATCGGGCTCCCCACAGACGTTACACACACCATCAGTGTGCAACGGACGGAAGATGGTGGTCTGGCCGGCCTGCCCGACGCCTGGAAACGGGTCATTGACGAGTTCATCAGGTGAGATGATCCGAGTGTCTGAGACAAATTGACAGTATGGGGTAAACTGAGATTCTGAGACATACTGGGATGCACTGGGGAAAACTGTGAGTCTGCCTCTGGGGAAAACTGAGACTCTGAGACATATACTGAAACTCTGAGGAAAAGTCAGAGTCTGGGCGAAACCTAATGACCTAAGGTCATCTCGTGACATTTAAAGGCAAAGTTGATAATGGGAAAGGAGCTTCAGGTAATCGCGAGCCTTTTTTAGCGCGATTTTCAGCGTTCTAACTTTCTGGTTGGGCCAAAATCCGTTGTGCTTATTTCGGCTCAGTGACTTTTGTTGACTGATCTCTTGGTCAAGTGGTTGAAAGTGCCGATGAATGGTTTTGATTATTTTACCTCAAGGGACTCATGTGCCAGTTTTAGTTCACCCCGAGGTGTCTCGAATCTGGATGGACAGACTAAGCCGTTTTCACGACGCTTATCTTGCGAATGCACCAAACTTGGCCAAATTTAACCAAATTTGCTCTAACCAAAGTTATTTTACAGGATATATCTTCATACCTACCATGCATTTATTTCATTTGTTATAGAAAATGTCTGGTGATTTTATAAATCAGGTATGATAAAGCAGCTAAGTAGTATGCCCTTACTACTAAGAACTACGAAGAATCAAATATGTACAGGTCTCGCGGGCTTTAGCGGTAGGTTTTGCACCTATAAAATTTAGTGTACTTCAGGCTGTATCTTTGTCGTCTTAACCCGCGCCCGGCTGGGGGTCCTGGATTTCCACGCCCTGCTGGGGGGGGTGTTTGAACACCCCCCCTTCTAACTCGGCTCCTGGGCCACGTAGCGATACGCGGAAGGCGGCGTTCGAAAGAGCGTAAAAAATAATGAGGAAATCACTTCGGTCAATTTTTTGGTCAGGTCAAAGGTCAGGTCACCAGAGGTCATTGAAGGCAAAATTTCGCCGATTTTCAGGTCGAATGTCGACAATTTCCAAGAAGCCAACGCATAACTCGGGAACCAATAGAGCTACAGCGCCGCAGAAAAGCGCATTCGATAGCCCTATTAACGCCCTTTCTGAGTAATTTTCTCAGATTTGACCTAACGTCAACGGTTTTGCCTGCAGGGGGCAAAAACTAAAAAAATAGCAGATTTTTTCGGAAACAGTCTTTCTGCAATAACTTTTGACCCAAGCCTTGTACGAGCTTACTTTTACCAGCATCGTGTTCCTCTCGTCAAGACGCATCGAATGAACTATAACTTGACCTTGAAAGGTCAACTTGAAAATTTGACCTCAGGTCAAGGTCATGACCTGACCGGAAAGGGTCATGTTGCATATCAGTCGATCCGTATCGTCGAGCTGAACACATCTAAGGGGTTTTCATCGTTCTAGCATGCCTCTATCAAAAGTTATTTGCGAAAAACTGTTAGATACCATTCGTGACCTAAGATGACCTCAGGGCATAAACAGGGGTCACGGACACCATTTTCATGTTCAGTGTGTCTAAACCACTTGTAATTCAGTGTTTGGGAGTATTTATAATGTCTTTCGTCCAAAAGAGGCGCATTTCAATTTTCTCCCATTGACTTATAATGGGGAGGTCGCAAAATTGACCTGACCTTAGGTCATCGATATCAAAATTCTGAGATATACATTTTGTACATGCTAATGCTCTAAGCAATCGCTGAAAGTTTCAAAGCGATCGGTCACTCGGTGTAGCTCTGACAGACATTGAAACTTTTTATGAGGTGAGGTCACCTTAAGTGACCTGGTGACCTGACCTTGAATGACCTTGGTCTGAAATTTCCACAACATGTGTAGAATTGATGTATGATAAGGTGTACCAAAAACGGCGGCGCTCCGCGCCGCCGTTTTTGAGATATTCGCGAAAAACCACAAGGGGGGGTGTTCAAACACCCCCCCCCAGCAGGGCGCGGGTTAAGCGTTTAAGTGTTGAAGATGCGATCGACTTGTTTGTTCACAAGCCGGCCATGATCGTGTAAAATGGCTTTATCGTAGATCGATTAGTTTCTGAGATATAACCGGAAATGTAAAAGTGCAAAACCTACCGCTTAATCTCGCGAGAGCCGTACCTACCTTATTTGATCAATAGATACCTACCAAATTTGACCTAATCGCACCAAATGCTACCAACGATGTGCCGTCGTGAAAAAGGCCGTTATATTGCGGCTCATTTTTGTATGAGAATGGCTGCTGACTGCGTTTAATTCACAATTTTACAACCCAAGAAAATAGATAATCATATGGTTTTACGTTTACCTTTTCGTTTTTATTTCAGCAAAGATGAACAAAAGAATAATCCTTCTGCGGCCATCAATGCACTGAAGTTTTATGAATATAATAAACAAAAGAAGAAAGAGCCATATAAACACATACATATAGCCAATGAAGAGGCGATACAGGATGAATCTGAAGAAATGGACAATATATTGGGTATGTATGTCCAGAGGCGGATCCAGCTCAGAGTTTTTTTTTGGGGGGGGGGGGGCAAACCATAACAATTTATCGATTCTTTCCATGCCTCGTCCATAGGCGTAATGTTAAAATTATGCCGTTTGGGAGGGGCAAATGCCCATTTTGCCCCCCCCCCCCTGGATCCGCCACTGCAGCACATATTTCATCGCCTTCCATGCATCAAAGCACATTCTGTAATTGCAAAGGAGGTGGTTAGCAATGCAAAAAAAAAAGGGTCACCAAATGCAGTTTTTGCATCGATAGCCATTCCTACAAAATATGTTATCCACTTACCACGGCACAATACCTACTGATTCAAATAGTGCATTAAATAAAACGATCAAAACAAAGGCGAACTCGAATCGTTACTGGCGCCATTCGCATGTCTTCTGTCAAATTGGCATTGATTGTGTCAATATTTCACGGCGAATGGTGCTGACCTGGGCTGATTGGCATTGCAGTGGACACTGTGCCACCTACGGATCCCGCCCCGCCGGAGCTGTCAACGATTACGTCCGACGGTATCGCCTCGTCCTGTCTCATACCAACATCAGCAAAACGATCCCCAGTAAGTGACAGATTTATAGTTTTTGTGTGACGGCCAGACCAAGTGTGATAGCCGATATTGCATACTGCGAATGTGTTCGATGGACTAGTGGCGAATCAAATGCAGTAGATGTAGACATGAAATACTCTAAAAGTAAGCACTCTAGACTTTATGGGCGATAACCATACGCCGCATTTTAGATATGCACCATGGACGTTTGTGATTTTTTCTTTGCAAGTTAGGAAGTAACATCTCACAGGTATCAACAGCTACAATTGGATTGACGGCCACCTTAAAGAGACTTCAAAAGACGCGTGCTGCCGTTTGTCAAGCTTTCATTCTCTGCCGCTAGATGTCACCCTCATCGACGCCTGGCACATGCTGTGCCGCAGTACTCATGCGTAGTGCGGTGCAGCGTTCGGATTCGAATTTGGCGAACGGATTGACAATCGTAGGCATTTCGACTGAATATTTTTTTTTTTTCTAGATGTCGAGGGCCTATTCTAAAGTGAGACCACTGTATCTTCTCCCATGTAAGTGATAAGTCTAAATCATCACACAAATGTGTGATATTCATGCGTCCTCCCGAGCAGAAACCGGTGCCGAAGCCCCGCCGCCAGGCCACCCCGCTCACGGACGAAGAGGTGTATGATCAGCTGCGACTGATGTGCAGCCAGGCGACACTCGAGGACCGGCTGGTGATCGACAAAACGCTCGGATCGGGGTAAGAGCGTGGGGTGATGTTAGGGTGGGGCTATGAGCAGGATGGTTCACAGGATATCATGTGTGGGTAGTTTTGAGTAAGATTCAAATAAGGAGCTGGCACCAACTAGTTATAACTATCAATCGAATTATGCATTTAAGCATCCCATGCTGCTCTTGTAGGTATAATATCCATCCAGTTAATGACAGCTTGGTCCAACGCACCTCTGTCCCTCCCCCGAGCTAACACTGAGTGAACGTCCCCACAGTGCCTCAGGAGTGGTCAGTCTGGCCACCAACAGAGCCACCGGAGACCGGGTGGCGGTCAAAGACATTGACCTGCAGCGGCAGCCGCGTCTAGCGCTGCTCCTCGTAGAGATCGAGGTCATGCGCGACATGAAACACCCCAATCTGGTCAACTTCCTCGAGGCGTACCTCGCCGACCGGCACCTCTACGTTAGTGGCTGGAATACGGGGTGGTGGCTTGTGGGAGTGTCTGTCTGCCTGTCTGCCATTCTCTGTCTCTCCCCTTGCCCTTCATGTTGTTCCTTCTCTCTCTATCTCTCTCTCTCTCTCTCTCTCTCTCTCTCTCTATCTTTTCGCTATGTCTTTCCCTCTTTCTCTCTCTCTCTCCCTCTCTCTCTCCCTATCTCTCTCTCTCTCTCTCTCTCTCTCTCTCTCTCTCTCTCTCTCTCTCTCTCTCTCTCTCTCTCTCTTCCTCTGTATTAATACGAGATCGCACTCGTATATGTGTGTGTCTGCACTCCTATGCCAGCTGTGTAGCGTTTGTTTGACGTCATTTATCACCCGATAAGTCATAAGAGAGGAAGTCGACGCGCGTCAATGTGACTCAGTAATTTTGGTGCTCTGCCTACGCGATGTAATATCGTATAAGAACATGTGATGAGGAAACGGTTGTGGCTATAGTTTGAATAATCAGTCAGTGATTTATATTCCAGCGTTCAGTCACCATAATTTCATTATTCTTTTAGTGCTAGTAATGACTATTCTCGTCTGTCATAATCCACCATATCTGTGAGCGTCATAACCTGGGAGTTGTTGCGTAACGAGTCTGCTGTATAGCTATCAACTATGGCCTGTCAGGCTAGCCGACCCTCCGCGCCTCGCGCTGATGTGATATAACTCCCGCTAATACCTCAGCCCGTGGAAGCTTGTGACCTTAGGTGACCTGACCCCTCACTCTCAGTATAGGTGACCTGATTTAGATGACCCGTTGACCCCTAGGTGGTCATGGAGCTGCTAGAGGGCGGTGACCTGACTGGTGTGGTGAGCACCACAAGACTCAAGGAGCCCCAGATAGCGGCCGTCTCAAGAGAGGTCCTCAAAGGTCTCCAGTTTCTGCACAACAGGGTCGGTACTGAAGGGCATTGCGTGATGTAGGAACAAGGCAAAATGGGGTGAATTGGCCTTCTAAACTGACTTCAGTCGCATCATTACATATATGTACACCGTATCCACAGGGCTTAGTTGACGTCTAACATGTTACGCTCATCAACAGTACCAAACATAGGCTGCGTTTGGTCCTTTGTTTCGTCTTATTTGGTCTTTGTTACGTTATTTCCACTCTGACTGGGCAACTTTCCGACGCAGGGCGTCATTCACCGCGACATAAAGTCTGACAACGTCCTCATCGGGAAGGACGGTTCTGTGAAGATCACAGACTTTGGCTTCTGCGCCAGTATCCAGGGCAACGAGAAGCGACAGACCCAGGTCGGCACGCCCTACTGGATGGCCCCGGAGGTGCGTACGGGGACTCGGAGAAGACTCATCACGAAGGAAAACAATGCTGCAACTGACTAGATGTATTACCAACGCCCACTTAAGACATAGCGCATCTTTCATTCATTTTGGGCTAATTTGGGGCAGTCTAAAGGTAGTGAACATACGCTTATTTCCTACGCTATTCATAACGCTTCTCCTATCTCCGCAGGTGGTGCTTCGTAAGCAGTACGGCAAGAAGATCGACGTCTGGTCTCTGGGCATCATGGTTATCGAAATGATCACCGGAGAGCCACCCTATCTGGACGAGGCGCCTGTGAGGGCTCTCTATCTGATCGCCACTCTCGGCAAACCGCGTCTGCCAGCTGGCACCAAGATCTCCGGACATCTTCGGGTAAGATGCATGTGTCATGTTAAGTGTGATCCTAGATTTATTATTTTTCATGCCTCTGTGTGTGTATCTGTCTGTCTGTCTGTCTGTCTGTCTGTCTGTCTGTCTGTCTGCCTGTCTGTCTTTCACTCTCTCCCCATCCTCTCCACCCCTCCCTCTAACTTCTCTTCTCCCCCCCCCCCCCCACAGAGTTTCCTGGACGCGAGTCTTACCGTTGACGTGGAGAAGCGCGCCTCTACCGATCACCTGCTGACTCACTCGTTCCTCAACTGTGCCGGCGACGCTAAGGCTGCGCTGAAGGCCATCAGTGCCCTGGCTCTGGCTGCCAAGAAGTAGCAGGAAAGAGACACGGGGGAGAGACAACTGTGTGCTTGACCTGAGCCAGCCGAGCTCCAGGTGACCTAACGGCTGAAAAGCTGTCCCGAAATGACTTGGGCTGGTTTCTGGTGGTGAAGTGCTGTTCACAGAATCGTTTGTATCAAATGTATGGTGGCCAGTGACCACTGTTATGCAAGACTATTAAACGTTACTCTGCATATGCAATGATATCCATAGGTAAAAAAGTATCAGCAATCTCATTGATTTCGTTGTCTTGTCGTTCGCACATTTCATTTTACTTCAAAACCAAGCTGCCACTTTATCAATCCGAATGTTTTTAAATATCAAACATGTTGGTAGCTCGATATTGCAGAAGAATTGCTGGTCAAGAGAGTCGTGTGCCTTCAAAGTATGATCAGGGATAGACGAATAAATCCCCGATTCCTTTTAGCGTCCTTAGAGCCGTAAATGAAACGTGCCGAGGGCACTTTCAGCTCCAGTCATCTTCTCCCAATGAATATGGTTGAAAACACAGCGAATCCTCGGTAACTATTTAGTTATAATGTGTGTGCATGCGGCTGATTACACTGTCCCCATCCATTGCTAATGGTGGCAGCATCAGGACGCCTGTTCCGTGCCATAAGACGCTCCCACATTTGAATAAACCGTGTAGTTCCTCGAACTCTGGAGTGGCAATTTGCATCCATCTTTGATGGCCCAGCGCACTAATATCTGCCTTGATGGTAAATTAGGGCGATTTTCATACAAAATGAGCGAGATCTTTCCACATTGCAGTGTAATATCCATTATACCACCGTGACCCGTCCTCAGTTGGCGTCACATTCGCTAGAAGCGGGCCCGGTCACGCTGCGGCTTACATCGACGTCCAAACCCTCACGGCGCCTCTTTGGCACCGATCGACAGAGCGAGGCCAGCCACTGCTGACGGCTGGCGGTCCGATATTGTCACTGGACTAAAACGGACCAGCCAGTCACTGGCTAGCCTCTGATGGTGTAGATTCAGGTAAAAACAGCTGAGCAGTGGACGCAGACTGACGTTTCACTTGCGCCAGAGCGGTTGACGAGGGCGCCGAAGTCATGCATTGTGAGCTTCCTTTTCACCCAGCGATCATAACAAGGATTGAGCCAGGGCAGGTGTGATCAATCTGGTCCATGATCAGGTCTGTAAAAATAGAAACCGAGGACGCAACATTATTAAGACATTCGCAAGTACATATAATAATTGCATCGCCATTCAATCATGTAAGCAAAACTGTTCGCTGCTTATTACCGAAACCTTATTCACGCTTTATCACTCACTGCGACACATCAGCCAGCCATCTTTCATAAAAACCCATCTTAACCCGCGCCCTGGTGGGGTCTGTTTATAACGCGACCTGGTGGGGGGGGGCTATTTTTTGCCCCCCCCCCTCGTATCTCCGAAACTACTGGACGGGTCCGCAAAATTCAAACGGCGTTCGAAAGGCCTGTCAAATTTGTCGAGGGAAACCAAATTTCATTAACCTTGGGGTCACCGATGACGTCACAGGTCAGGTCAAAGATGAAATGTTTCACCGTTCACGGGTCTACTAGGGAATGCGCTATAACACTGAGGAAAACGCACTTTGTCGAGAATCAGCGATAGGGCGTCAGTTGCCTAGTAGATATGTTGCTATTAGAGGTCACTGACAATACCAGGTCAGGTCACAGGTCAGGTCACCAAGGGTCACAGGTCAGGTCACATGAACCTAACTTTACTAAGGTTGTGTGATGCATGTTTTATGGCCAATTTTTCATTTCCAACTCAATGGTGTTGGTTATAAGACTATCAGGTACGGCTTAGGTCACTTTCTGGTGAAGGTCAGGTCAAGGTCAGGTCAAGGTCAGGCCAAAAAAGGTCAAATTTTAAAGTTGATAGTTTTGCATAAAATGGGTATTGATTCGATGCAGCTCGTCACGGGGAGTCTAATAATGGTCTTTGTTTTGCGATACGGGGTCTAGAATTGCTAAAAATTGAGTTTGAAAATTTGACGTCATCAATTTTGAACAGTTTTTTCGCTATAACTTCGTCTAAAAAGAGGTATCAATCTAAAATTTGGTATGTGGATGGTAGGCGGTAAGGACTATCACATATATTCCGGTTTTTGCGAAATTCAAAAACTTTTTGGATTATTTGACTAAAATATCCAAAAAATATATTTTTTGATTTTTAGGGGTCAAAATCCAAAAATTTCAAAAATCCGAGATAGCAGTTTTGTAGCCCTTTCAATTCTACAGCTTTTATGTTCTTATCATTTTTCTGTATTTGCAAAGCTATAGGCCTGACAGCTCTTCCCGCGAAACCCTTTTTTGGGTCGAAAACGGCAGAACATGACGTCTCTCTGACGTCATTTCCGGCCAACCTATCATAGCTTTTGGAAAATTTTTGGTCACAATGTGTAAAATTGATGTCCGGGAGGGTACTGAAAGTTTAGTGACGATCGGCACAGCGGTTCTGGAGATATATCGAAAAGTCTGGAGGGGGGGGCAAAAAATAGCCCCCCCCCACCAGGTCGCGGGTTAAAACATGGCAAAAACCCGCGCGATACACCCATCTGCACCAATTACGTTCACCGCTCGCCAAGCGTTTACCTACCTGCGGGGTCGCGCTGAGCGGGGTCTCTCCGTTGGGGGTGCCGAACCGGCACTGTCGTTAGAAGCCGGGCCCATCTCAGCTGATCGCATACTGGGAGAGCGAGAGCCGCCCCCGAGAGAGCTGAGGCGACCTCCACTAAACGGGGGCCTGAAGCCGAGTCGATGAGAATGGAGGAGTCAGATTGGTCAGATTGGTTCGAGATGGAACAACAGGAAATGTCAGGTGGTAAGGTCATCTTAGTTCATCTGAGATGAACATTTAACTTGAACTTTCCGAAGGAGATTAAAGCGTTATTTAATCAGTGTAGCGCGACAGTGCTAATGGCTAGCTAATGTAATCCAGTGACCCCTCCGAACCGTTTTTGACTGAGGCTGTTTACTAAAGGCAACACGTAACGTATGGGTCAATGGCCTGACATTTGAGATCACTTGACATGAGTGACACTGACCAGAATGATAAGTGACAGCCAGTCGTGAGGCTGAACTCTAAGCAGTCATGCTCAAAAATTGTTTAATGCAATGTGATCAATTTGGAGGAGCTACCTACCTTGGCCATCTTGACTAAGTTCACCTACAAGTTCACCTGTACAAGAATGAAATAGATATATCCCCGTCCTAGACTGGTTGCGAGCAATCACCGGTAAATGTTAACGGAAGACCGTCTACCCTGAGCCCTATGACTTAGAGATTTATGTAAGCATTATGTAATCATGCATTTGATCAGACAAAATATAACTCAAAAGAGCTGATAGACGTACATTGTGCATTTGTCAGTTGGCCGCTCCCTTTCTACAACTTTCGAAGGGCCGTCAGCATAAGTTCAACCAACTTTAAAGTTAGCACCCGTCGATCAATGAAGAACAAATTGATGACCATTTACTTCATTTGAGAAATTAGGTCATTTCCAGTGAAAGGAACAGTTATCAAAAGTAACTACTTTTATCGCAACATATGCCCATTTTTATCATATTTAGTAGCGTTTTAAGACAACAATTTTAGTGTTTAATATTCGCAACGCGACTTACTTGAGGAGACCGCCCGGAGTGCTATCATCTCGGTGTCTCCGGCTGCTCTTTCTTCTGTCATACGTCGGTCTGCGCGACTCCCTGCGCGACTGTCTCCGCGACTCTCTCCGCGCCTCCCTCTTGGCGTGGCTGTGCTCTCTGTCTAGCACGCCCACCGAGCGGCCCAGGTCATAGAACTGCTGGTTGATGGTCTCGCGCGTCAGCTCGAACGACATCTGGATGACGGTGAGGCCGACCATGACGTAAAGCACGTAGGAGGTCTCTACCCACCAGCTGGGGGTGCCGTGGTAGTCGGGCTGCTCGTCAGTCAGCACACGCGGCACCAGGTCGCCGAAGCCGATGGTGGAGAGAGTGATGAACGTGAAGTAGAAACCATCCAGATAGGACCAGCGCTCGTAGTGAGAGAAGAGCGCGGCGCCGATGGCGCTGTAGAGGGTCGTGATGAGGAACACCACGGCCAGAGGGATGCGCAGGGCGCGCGCGGACGGTTTCACCGCCTGTTCTCGGGAGTGTGAGCCGCGGTGTTGGTCCTGACCGGGCGACCCGGCGCCGTCCGCCCCGTCCGGAGCTGCCAGCAGTCGCGGATTGTCCGCCGCAGACTCGGACGTCAGCGCAATGGAAGGCAGCGCCGCCGCGTCCGAGTCCTGGTGAGGGTGGGCCATCGGTGAGGCGTACCCTTCTTCACTCTCATCATCAGAGTCGGTCCCGCGCAGACGTGCCGCGTAATCGCGAGCCATGTTGTAGAGCATATCCAGGCCGTGGCCGATGCTTCGACCGAGGGTTCTCAGACAGAAGAGCATCAGAGGAACGCCCAGCATGGCATAGAGAAGGGTGCACAGACGGCCGCGCCAGCTTTGCGGCGTCCGGTTACCGTATCCTGTCGATGTCAGGATAGAGTCAGCAACAGCATAGGCAGTAAGCAGCACGCTTCTCCAATGTTAACCATAACCGCAGGCTGTTTGAAATAGACAAACACTATTCGTTAGAATTGTGTTTTTCTATTGAAAAACAACCGGAGCAGTTCGAGTACAGGTGGTGCTGCCACCTGACAGTGATTGATTGACATGAGTGATTGGAACACACATGCTTGATGAATTGCAGCCAGCAGTCAGCGAAGCAGAAAACATGATTGGTTCTCATCTAATTCTAATCAATAAATCCACAGTAAATAAACTTGACAAAAACAGGATGTGAACAGCAAATGATCATAACTCAATCGGAGAGGCATGGGCATTGGACATTAATTAAAACCCGAAACCGTTCGGAAGTCGTCCACAAAATCAGCCTTAGCAGTAGCCCGTTCCCAACCTTAGATACCGATTGTTGTTACGACCGTGGAGGCGAAGAGAAGAGCGGTCTGAAATTCCCAGTCATCCCCGACGGCCAGCTCCTCCTTGCAGTGCGCCTTTCTCTCCTGATGACTTTCGAGGAAATCCTCGTAGGTCAGCACAATCTTCTTCACCGAGAACAGCCACTTATCCAGCTTGTCCTGCAACTCCTTGTCCGTCTGATCCTTCATGCTGGTCTGAGCATGGGAAGACAGAATTTCCTCTGAAAATATTTTACACCTTAGAAAGTCATTCAATTTACATTGTATGTACATTAAAGTTACTTTTTCCAGAACCCGAGCTGCTAAAGCTCAATCCTAGGAATTAAGATAACAACGTCAGAAGCTTTTCTGCGGATTACTATCCATCAATAGGTAGGTTCACTTTCTGTTGGATTTTTTTTTCTTAACTTCTGGTAATGGCTATTATAAAAACGGCTATACCATGTTTGACAAGTACCTACGAGTACACATGTTTATTGTTCATGTCAATCTGTTTACCTACTTTATGAACATTGCAGCATTTATTGCATTCCGAAAGAAAATATATTAAACGCATACGCTGTGGCTGATAACGTACCGTAAGTTCTGTTGTATAACTGGTGAAGCACTAGCGTTCGGTTAGATAATACTTCCGCTTTCAGATCTTCCCAGCAATTCGTTTTTCCCTCTTTTGCTCTTTTTTCGTGAATGGCACTGTTTTCCAAGTATTGAAATGTGAACGCACCAATTATACAGTATCCACATATGAGTACCACCATACCCACATATATAAAGACGTGAGATACAAGCCATTTTAGTGTTTCACGACCTTCTAGCTGTCGATAAACCCATGCGCTAATCGGGGAAAGTGGTTCTTCTTCTTCCATGTTCGTTACTAAATGAGTAATTTAGCTCAAAATGATATCGAAATGCTCAAAACGATAATGCTATGTCCCTGGCGAAAAATGTCTTTCTAATACTTATTTCATGTTATTGATGTTTTGTTTGCTATTGGCAAGTTACTGCATGTGTTTCCAAACCAAAATGTAAGTCGCATTTGTCTCAAGTCCACAACGAAACGACGGTCAATCGACATTTTCCACGTAGAATAAGCACAAAGCGTGCTGTATGGTGCTGGAATCTTTCAGTGAAACAAATACATAGTGCCGACAACTCAGAGAAATCCGTGAAGTGCAGGAATGGTGCAAGGTAACAATAGCAAGATACGTCCAACGCTAGCAGGGTTCATCGTCATTTCTCATCCATGCCAGGTTAGGCACTGTCCTTAGTTGTAGGTAATACGAATATAGGACTTATCCCTGTAAAATTATGTACGTTTTTTACAACTTACCTCGTTTACAAGAGTCAGCTAAAATGACGTCTGACTGGCTACGTATTACATGGGCACGACAGTCGATACTCCTCTGCAGTCTGCAGTCTGCCCTGTTGGCATACTTATGGGTGACAGTATGTGATTAATCCTCTAACAGAACAAAACTATTGCTATGTAGCGAAAGGATCCCTTTGCATCATATTTTGCAAATATGACATGTTGGTGCTTTGCAGAGTATTGTAACCTGCCATTTAAGAAATAAATCACAAAAAGGTTCATGAAAAGACATTGCCATGGGCCATAATTTACATGGTTTCATGTGTCTATATTTTTTTAGGACATGTCAATCAGTAAATTGCCTTTTTAATCAGGCCCTATCGCACCGACAGAAGCCGTGCCGTTGAATCACGGGCCTATCGCGTCGCGGCTGCCGTGGCAGAGGCGTGCTCGGCGATTCAATTGATGCCCCGTATCGACGTAGCTGATACCGGTGCGGTGGTAATTTGTCTTCGGACTCAGGGCCGGCCGGACTCCAGTGCCGGTAATCCATGGCGCGGCCGGTAGCGGCCGATTTAGGTGGGGTCCGTCCGACACCCAGCGCACCACACGAGGCCATCGACAGAAGGGCACCTTGCCGCTAGTCCTCAACAGGGTTGTATACCAATCAAGTCGATTGAATTGATTGATTTGTTTCAACGCGTATTTTGAGTTGATTGGATTGAGTCGATTGACTTTTCGAGATGACTGGTTGACTGACTCGTTTGACTTTAGCGACTTGTTGACTGATTTGATTCCCGAAAATTAGAGTGACTCGTATGATTGAGTCGATTGAATGGAAAGTTCAAATAAGTTTTAGTTGACGAAAAATAATGACACCAATTGATGACATCAAAGACACAAAACTACACTGAAAACTGCTTGTCATCACAACTGCAATATGGGGTAGATGGCCAAATAAAGAACAGGGCCTAAACATGAACAGCTAACTTTGACTTTCAACTGCAATAACTGCTCCAATCGGTGATAGAACCTGGCGATGCACCTACCTACCTTTCTGCACTCAGCAGGAAACGTTTTTTTTTTAATCCAGGTGATTAAGTGCAAGGCCCTATATACTAATAAAGTGTGATTAATTAATAATTCACATCTCCATATCTCCTCAGAAACAACCCACTGAACTCTATAAATATCTGAAACCCATATAAAAATAACTGAAACAAAAGCGCCGTTTTCGTCTCGCTAATTACGTTTACGTACCTAATCAATAGCTAATTTGCTGCATTGTTTAATTTGCAGCAGAACGTTTGTTGATCCTTTTCTCCTGAGAGCCTAAGCATAACATATTTAAGGTATTTCATTTTCCTTAAAATATTTTACCGAATATTATTAAGTGGTTTTATTTCAAATGAAATAATAATTACAACGAAATTGGTGTTGTACAACCGATTTACTTTATGATGATCTACCATACTACATGATAATCAATGACGTCATCTTACCAAAAAATCAAAAGACGTAGAATAAGGATTTATAAAAGCTTAGCATATTTATTGGCAAAACGTTTTCTTTGTTTCGTTTCCAATTCGTTTCTTTGTTTCTTTGTTTTCGCGTTTTAATTTTCCTTGTTCCTACTTCCTTTGTCCTTAACTTATCCTGTGTTTCCAGAGTCCCTATCCTCTCCATTTCCTTTTAAATATACCGGGTGGCCCAGAAAAAACGTTCCCAACTTTAAATCAATATTTCTCAGAAAGTGATTACGATACAACATTACAACTTCCTATAGTCAATGCGGCATATATTTTCAGTAAATGGTATGATTTTTATGTTATTCGGCCAATTACTTTTTAAACAGTTCATGTTTCTAGCATGCCATGTAAAAATTACTTTTTTGCTCAGATGTTTACTAAAAAATGAGTTAACGGGCCACTTCCATCTCGGCACCACGGCCTGCAGCCATGACTGCTACTGGCAACTATTCTCAATGATGGTTCAGGCCTCAGGGTGACACATTCCCTCTAGCTTTTTCCTTATTCGGTCGATTTACTGATTGATCTTCTTGAAGGGAGGGCGATCAGCAGTAACCCATGCACCGTGCCACTCCTGCTCGATACAGGGCTTGTTGAAACGAATGGCATCCATTAACACTGTTTTGACTCAGCTTAAATATTTGGCACATAAGTGGGACAAATATATCTAAAATAACAGCACACGCGCTGGTTTCATTCATGTGTTCTATTTTTCCTTTTTTCTAACATGGTACGTCTAAGCCAATCATCACTACCGTTTAACATCGGCAAAAAAAGCAAAAACGTCTTACTTAATTCAACGTAAGATTGCTGGCTTGAAAATTATGGTACAGTGTTACAATTTGGCATACCAATGCGAGAAGAAATGACGCAACCTTGATGAAAATTTTGGCTCGTTATTTGCACTCAAATTTGAGATATAGGCCTCCAAAGTTCGGAACGTTTTTTTTGGGCCACCCGGTATTTTTAATCCTCATCCCTATCCCCCAGTCCTAACAGATTCAAATTGTGTTGCAATAAAATGTTTTGAATTCTTCACATCAACATAGGTACCTAACATTGACATGCCACGTTCAGAGTCGTGGACCGCTAAATACTTCAAATCTCTTCCTTCCCAATCTGACAACATCCCACGTCTCAAATGCACATTGTGTGGAAAGATTTTTCAGGCTGCCCGTCAGTCTCTGTCTAACCGAAACCGTCACATGCAGGTAAGATATTTATTTCTATTTCCCTATGGTTTATATGTTATTGATGCATATTATCCATTAAAATAGACATGGTGTGGGGTAAATGGCCAAATCACGAACACTGCCAAAATCCGAGCAGCCAACTTTCAACTGCAATATCTGATATTTAGTGTAAATGGAGTTGGAATATGGCCAAAATTAAATTGACAACTTTTAGGTGAAAGGTGGTGATTTGGGTTAAGGGGAGAGTCAACTACTGGGTTATTTTGCACCCATTAAATGAAACTTCTGCTCCAATTCTACCCATTGAACCTCAATATCATGATCCACCTGTCCATCACTAGGTATCCTTCCTTATTACATAGAAACTTTGAATGGCATGGCAATTTATAATTTTAAATGACAATATTTTTATGTTTCTGCTGTAGGTAGGTAGGTAGGTAGGTAGGTACACCAGACTGCTATGGACACTTTTCCAAGTTGGTGGGGCAAAAAACCTAATGTATGTCTTGGTTTGAGTCGTTTGATTGAGTTGATTGATTCCTTTCATTGTCGCGTTTGAGTCGATTGAATCAATTCCCGAAAACTGCTCTGACTTGATTGATTTGATTGGTTTCCCAAATTTGTCGTGATTGAATTGATTGCTATTGATTGAGTCGTATACAACCCTGGTCCTCAACACTGCTAGTACTGTTGTGGTATTCCTGGTACATCTACTAAAAAGGCATACCAGCTGTGTGCATTATTTTCTCATAAAAGCTGCGAGAAAATCATTGACAAGTGGGCAAGCTTTCGGGTCGGCGGCTGGTTTTCTCACGCACCAAGACTCATCACTCACCAGCAAGAACTGCAATTTAATTTCCTTTCGGTGTCTAAAAACTATCGCCCCGCTTGGTGTTCAATACGGTTTCTTGATTAGTTCCTTGGTATCTCGTCCCATCCACTATCCGGCTCGCTCCAAGGATTCCTGCTCTGTATTTTTGTCCGTAGTTTCTGTAATCCCCATCCACCTCCCGCCAAAAATCAAATCGTGACAGTTAGTTTGCTATGGTGGAACATCCTGTTTTTCCAACGCCCCTCCGCGCCAATTAGATTGGCTGCAGTGACGCCCGAATTATTGCATCGATTGATGATGGTGCAACACCATGTCCACTGCCCATTATATTATCCCTCGTCATTTCGTGATTGGTGAAACACCTCAGACTCCATTATATGTCATTTGATGGTACTCTTTCTGATCTAATCCTACTTTGATAGTGAATTAAATTATTTGCTTTACTTTAGTATAATTCGCTTATTCGATTGCAATCTATTGTCACAGGGCTGGGTGTTTGCATGATCAGTGACCACCCAAATTGGTCGATGCTATGAAAGCAAAATCATTGATAGTGCCCCAAAATTTGCTCGTTGCTTGTTTTATCTGCCTTCCAGCCTCGCTGCTGGTGCGCCTAAAACTACAACTCATCTGCCTTCCACCGACGCCAATGAAAAACACGATTCTAAGGAATAATGTTTGCCAGTTTTCAAGCAGCCTGCGGTTATCAACAAACGAACAGACGAACAATATACCTTGATCTGGCAGCTATGCTGGTAATTGGGCTGTGCTGCTTGTGTCAAGGTCTTCCATGCCCCTTTCATTATCCTCGTTGAAATTAATTCCAAGGAAAAGTTTTACATACCAAATTTGACCGCCCATTGTTTTACTGCTTGTAATCGTTCGTTTGATGACGATAGCCTGACAACGGTGCCTTTCGTGGAGCGCGATTTCATTAGACGACAGCGGTAGAGCACTTATTTCCATCGCCGGACGTGGCTGAAGACCTACACTCGCCTTGATTAACGCGGTGGTGACACCTCCGACCCATGAAACTGCGCGACGTGGCTGTGTAGTTACCCTCTATACATGGGTCAACGTTTATTCCATGTTTTATCAATAAATAGGAGAGCAGCTGCATTTATTAATTTAACGGTTCTTATCAACTGAAGTACGTTCCAAAAGTATTGCTTCGTTTTTTTTCCCAGCTTGATTT